TTGGGAACAATGTCTGAGTTTTACGACTCAACTTGTCCCCAGATTCATTTTTAAAATGTTGAGATTGTGGTCTCGCTGAAGTAAAAAATGGGAAATGTAAAGTTTCAGTTTATCTGCAAACTTGTATTTCCAAAAGCTACTGTGCAAGAGTTGGAATTAAAGAAATTTTCCAAATTCTGGGTACTTTGCAGTGACATTCTTCACTTAAAAAGTCAGGTGAAATTACTCACTTAGTTTTTCCATAATTGCCTAGTGCTTTCTGTTCAGAGCTTACTAAACGCATTTTCTCTGTCCAGAATAAATGCTCCAGTTTTTTAGAGTTCCAGATTCTTCTGTGTTCTATTTTTCTCATTTACATTGCTTGTTAGCTGGCAGGTCTCCACTTGCTTTGGTTATCTTTATCACATGACATTTATTTTCACCATATTCTGACTGTATTAATGACTTGTCTTACATAAACTTCTCCTTTGGAAAAAAAAATTAAAACATGAATGATTTAAATCTGTCTCCCTCTTGCTGCTGAATATAGGGTCTGAATTGTTGACAACCAGTCGCGGCTGATGTTGATTAAAAAGCAAGAAACTCCAACCTAAGTAGCTGGCAGGAAGAACACATTTTTGAAACGGGCTGCTGTTGTACTCCCAGTTTTGGTGGAGTCAAAGAGATTTATGAGGAGCATTATTTCACTTTCAATTCTGCGTACTGTGTGCAAAACTGGGGAAACCAATGCAATTTGATTCTGTTAACAAACTCTGATGCCTGGCAAGTTCAGAGGTACTTCATGATAGAGATAACTTGGTAAGGAGAAACAGAAACATAGCTGCTAGGTATATGCCATTATAGATGGTCTTTATTTCTAGCTATTTTTCTTCCTTTTTTTTTTTTTTTTTTTTATTTTTATTTTTATTTTGCTTACATATACCAGGGCTTGGAAACTTCACATTGCCAGGTTAAATTATTCAGCATATTGCTTGCTTCAGGTCAGATTGCTTTGTACTCTGTGCCTTACAACTGCCTCTGTTGTTTTGTCTTACACCGAATAGCCACAATTTTTCCTTCCTACCACCTCAGAATCTGGTTTTAAATAACCCATATTTGCCGAACAATAATTTTAAGCATTGATACAATTATTTGAAAGTGATCTATACGCTACAGCCACAAAGTTCTTCACAACTACTTGCATAAAAATGACAAATCTGAGACATAACAATTCATACACAGTGTGAATTTCCTTTCTCACTCCTTCCCTTTTCCCCCTTCTCATCATAATATTCTGGGATCAGCAAGCAGGCAGCCCAATTCCTTACAGTAAATAGCTGAGGAGGGCCCTACGTGGACCCAGCTGATCTTTGTTAGACCGAATTGGCTACATAGTTTATTCCAGTGGAAAAACTGAGTGGAGGTGTAATTCAATATATTACAGTAGCTTCCTTCTAACCTAATATATGTACAAATAAAAGGACAAGTTTTAGGCTGTGTTCACTTGAAGTGCTTTAAAAGAAGCGGAGTAAAACAAAAGAGGCTGATTGAAGTGCAGGAAGAATTTTGTTTATGTTGTTTGTAACAGAAAGCGAAGTCTGATGTCAATGGCAGTTTAACCAAGAGAGACAAATGAGCATTATGGGCTTTTTTTAGTGCTTTTTTGTTTGTTTGTGTGTTTGTTTATTTGTTTAATATTTCTTTAATCATCTTTTACTAAGCAGTTAAATGAGAGCAGAACAACACGTTCAAGTTAATTCTCATTTATTCACAATTTATTAAACCTTCTTCTTTCAAATATTTTTACAAATAAAAACCCCACAACTCCTCTATCCAAAAAATCACCACAAATTTCTCCTCATTCCTTGACAGTGATTTATGACCACAGTGGTCTGGTGTAATCAAAGTTACTTAGACATTATTGCTTTTAAAAAATATTCTACAGAATTTACAAGTTATGAATAATACCATACATAATTAAAGCTTCATTTAGGCTGACAAGTGAATCAATGAAGTGCATTTCGTGATGCATTACCCCATCTTTGTTTGCAGGTTTTGGTTGTGTTCTTTCATTTTTGTTGTTTTATTATGATTTCTCACAATTTCTTAAGTCTTTTGTTTCTCCTACTTCCTCAGTTATTCAACATTTTGTACATATTCACAAATTCACAATGGTACTCGCAGGCTTTATTGCCAGTGATTGTGATTCCATTGCATTTTATGATTAAATGTTCTGCCACTTACATTCTTATAACAAACTTCAGAAGGATGTGTATTCATTTTGTTATTCATTTCCTAAATTTATCCGTAACAAATCCTGAATTCTTGAGTAGCAGGATGGAAACAAGCTGACATTTTAGTGTGATGGTAGAGTTGCAACAGAATCCAAGCAAACAAGTTAATTACTGTGCAATTAGCCCTGGGAGAAGCAGGTTCTTCAGAGCACTTTCAGTGTTTCAGAAAACGTCTTGATCTCAGATATTACATTAGGCATATGTTGCTGCTCCTCTGTTGTGCAGATGTAATGATGCTTTCTTGGTTGAGCTTGTGTTTGATTTTAATTTTATAATTCTTGTGTTATCCAGACAATTGATTCTGTGAGTGAACTGAAGTGAAGAAGTCTGGTTTGCTGTGCCCTTGTGTGTGTTGTTTAGAGTTTTTGGTATCCATCAACTTGTGAAATATTTATAGAATCAATGTACTCATATTTCTGTATTTTGGATTCTCTGCTGTCTAGTTGTCAAATTTTCCTTAAACCCATTTATTTACTCCTTCAATGAAATTCTTAGAAACTTAATATCTTTGTGCCACTCTGTCAGATATGATTCCAGTCTGCCAACAAAAAGTTTAGAAAGTCAGGGGTTGGGGATGTGTGTACAAAAGGATGGAAGGAAAAGCTGAAAAGATATGTCAAGAGGGCGTGAGAACTAAAGATAAAGGACACAAAAGTATGGATTAATGCCTTCTTCAGCTTACTGTACTGGTAAGACTGTTCCTCAGGAATCTCTGTGTTCTGAGAGTAGAGGGAAGGTCTGCAGCAAGGAAGTTTCTTGATGATAGAGCATCAGGCCGAGGGGCATTTATACCAAATGAACATACCTTCATCCTTGGAAACATCCAGAGTCAAGCTGAAGGAGGCTCTGGTCAGCCAGACTGAGCTGTAGATGTCCCTGTTCTTTGCAGGGGAGTTGGACTAGAAGGTCAATAAGGGTCCATTCCAACTCAAACAATTATATGATTCTGTGATTAAGCCCATGAGACCTGATTGGATGAACCAAAAGCTTTGGAGTTTTCCAGTGTCAGTGTGAGGCCACTCTTGATCGTATTTGAAGAATAGCAATCAGAGGATGTTCCCAAAGACTGGAAGAAAGAAAATGTAACTAACTAACCTGATAGCTTTTTACCATGAGATGACTGTCACTATGGATGAATGTGAAACAGTGCATATTTATTATCTTGACTTCAGATCCTTGCTGTTCAATAGCAGGTGGTTATGCTGAAATCACAACCTTGATAGGCTGGGGAAATGTTCAGTGGAAGAAACCGCATGAGATACAGTAACTGGAAGTGACAAGTCCTGCCCCTGGGGAGAAATAACTCCAGGCACCACCATTAGAGGCTGGGGACTGGCTGTCTATATGGAAAGCTTGCAGAGAAGAGGTATTTTCTTCAGAAGACTCTTTGAACCAGGCTCCGAGCGACCTAATCTAGTTGTAGATGTCCCTGTTCATTGCAGGGGAATTGGTCTGGATGACCTTTAGAATCCCTTTCAACTCAAATGATTCTATGATTTTGTGATTCTGTCGTAAGTGCAGATGGGCAGCAAGCTGAAATTGAGCCATCAGTGCACCATTGCGGGAAAGAAGGCCAGCAGCATTCTGGGCTTCTTTAAGCAAGCAGCACTGCCAACTGATCAAAGCAGATACTCCTACCTCTCTGCTCAGTGTATCTGAAATGCTGGGTTCCCAGTAAAGGAACACATGGACATACTGCTGCCCAGTCTATGAACATTGTTGAAGATATGCAAAAACAACTGGACTTGGTTCTGAGCAACCTGCTTGGAGCATTGTATTAAATGATTTCCATAGATTCCTGCCAGTCTCAATGATTCTGTGATTCTTGAAGTTGTACAGCTAAACTAAATGCATCCTGCTTGAGTATCTTTTTTTTTTTTTTCTGCTCTGCTAATGTTGCCTTACTGGTAGTGCATTTAGCAGTGTCTGCATTATTATGTCTGTTATTGCTAGGTTAATTGTTTTTATAAAAGGCAGTGACATAAAAAGTCAACATATGCTCACATTTGCTGTTGTATATGGTAACTGTTCAGATAATAGAGAAACAAAGTCTCTGGAGATTGCTGTCTTAGAACTAGGAAAATTTCTGTGTTTAATCTATTAATTTTACTTTTGGTACATTTAGAAATATAAATTAATCCATTCATCAAACACAGCCTGATGGATTGATTTCTTGATGGTCTACCAATAAAGAGATTCAAATTCAGTGATTTTTTGATTGGTGCAGCATCAATTTACAAGTAATTTTTTTACCAGATGAATGCCGTTCTAAAAATGGGCTTCTCCAATGTAAGGATCTGCACTTTAGGATGAATAGTTTGCACCAAATGTATCTTTTTTTTTTTTTTTTTTAAAAGAGGTAGGTTTGCAGCAGTTGTTTTTATTGTTGCTTTTTTCCTCTTAGGATTCTGAAGTTCTGAGAAGCAACCGTAAAATCATATCATTTTACCTGTTTCTTATAGAAAACTCAACTCAACTGTCTTACTTAGATCCAATAAACCATGGCATTGTTTAAAAGGGTTTTTGATTTACCATGGGTGTATGGAGCACTTGGACTTTTTCTTTTAATTCTACATAGATATATTTTTTTCTTATTCTTTCTCTTCCTTATTTTATTTTTCCTACTTTTTTTTCTCCTTTTTCTTCCTACTTTTTTTTTACTTTTTTTTTTTTCTTGTTACAAAGCTTGGTTATGAAACATGTCTTTTATGTTTTCTGTCTTTTCAGAGTGACATGCTGGATGTGAACCAGATCATTAAAGACCTGGCCTCCATGGTGCATGAGCAAGGAGACACAATAGGTAGGTATCACTGCTGAAGTATGTTTTGTTATGCTCCTAGGCCATTCCAATGTGTTGCTGTGTGTTCTCTCAGAAGAAACTGCATTTAATAATGATGCTGCAATTAATTTTCCTGTGTTTTGTGCCCTTAGTGATGTTTTGATCTGTCAAACTGCTCTATGCAATAGTGTTCTTACATTTGGATTAGTTAGATATATTTAGCATAAAAAAAGATTCTGAGGTGAGAAAAGTTTGTTCAATTTTGACTACAACAAAGAAGCTGAAGAATATGTAGCATTAACTATAAAGGGATTCTTTTTTTTTTTTTATTAATTCCTACCTGGAGTTCTAATTAAAAAGCAACAACACCAGTAATAGTTACTGTCATTATCGTAGGGTGGCAAAAAAATATAAATAAAAATAATTAAACAGCTTGCTTCTCCTAAATGGAAATTTCTCTCCACATTAAGAAAGTGTTTGACTAAATCTATAGTATTCAACCATTATGACATACATGCACACATAGTCTTGAACCTTCTGCCCACTAGTTGACCTCTTTTTGTTCTATAGCAGCCAGTGGCTAAGAACATTGTGGAGGGTTCTTGGGAATGGAGGAGATGAGAGAAACTGTTAGACATGGAACAGATTACCCAGAGAAGTGGTGGATGCACCATCCTTGGATACACTCAAGGTCAAGATGGACAGGGCTCTGAGCACCCTGATGTAGCTGTAGGTGTCCCTGTTCATTGCAGGGGAGTTGGATCAGACGACCTTTAAGGGTCCCTTCCAACTCAAACGATACTATGATTATCTTTAACAGCAGCCAACCAGTGACCATCACCATTTTTTTTTAATAGAGTATAGTAGAATAAAACACAGTGATCTGTTCCTTTTAAACTTCTTGGACTTTTGTCTTTGTTACTGATGTGTTCTGATGCAGCTAAGAGCAATCAGATTTTTCTTTCTTCTTTTTCTTTTTCTTTTTCTTTTTCTTTTTCTTTTTCTTTTTCTTTTTCTTTTTCTTTTTCTTTTTCTTTTTCTTTTTCTTTTTCTTTTTCTTTTTCTTTTTCTTTTTCTTTTTCTTTCTTTTTCTTTTTCTTTTTTTCTTTATCTTTTTTTTTTTTTTGTGGTTTTTTGTGTATAATAATACTATGAAGCACTTCTAAAGCAATTTCCAGTTCCAAATTTGTGAGCTAACAGTCCTGAAGCCATGATGAGGGACTTAAACATCAGAGAAGTGAGGTTTGGGAAGATATTACTAACCTGCATTGCTCACTTGGAGTACTTACAGAGCTCATGGGAGCTAGATCAAGTCCTAAGGCAGCCACATGTAAATTATAAAAGAAGAAAATCTTCTGTTGTTTATTAATCTATCTGAATTGTTTTGCCATGCTCAAACCTATGCAGATTTCTATTAGCATCACATATCGCCACTGAAATGAGCTTGCTGCATCCCACTGAGAAACACCACTCAGGTTTGCAAGTGCAGAACAAAATCAAGATAATATCTACCAATTCTTTCTTGTTTTGATTTTTTTTTCTTTTTTCTTTTTCTTTTTTTTTGGGGGGGCAGCTTATTTTTTGTATATGTACAACTTCAGAGCCTGATTCGTCTCCAGAATGTACATCAGATGTTAATGCCTTGAGGGATGTGAGAGCATACATCAGTTAGCTTCAAGATCCTTGTAAACAATTTTCTTAAGGCAACGTTTATTATTTTAGAATGTTGTTCATGCACAGAAGTGACCTAGTATTAACTAGCCTGTGAGAAAATTGTATTAAATAGTGTGTTTGGGTTTTACACTATCAGAAGTGTTTTTTCTTCCATTTCACTGCAGCATAATTTTTTTTGTAGCTTCCTCAGAAGCATCTTCTCACTCTGGCAACTATTCAAAGTATCTTCCCAACCTTCAGTTGCTGAAAGATCCCATTGTATATCTTTTGACTTTCATATTACTTAGACATAAGTGAGATTAAGAGTCAGTTGTTGAAGAGAATTGAAACTCCCACAGTGAAAATACAGCAGAAATGATGATAAGGGACAGTTCTCTTGACACTTGTTTATTGCATCCCTCTTACATGCATGAAATGAAATCTCTGTGTGTGTTAATTTAGAAGACACAAGAAAACTATATATCCAGGGAATCTGAGGTGCATCACTCAGCAAAAAAAAAAATCCCACCAGGGCTGTAGCACGAACAACTTTTGTTCACCCTGAGCTGGGGAGAATTAATGGGAAGAACTTGTCTGAGCCATGCATAGCACAGGAAGAGTAACCCAGATTTCTTAGAAAAACCTTAAAGGAAGTTTTGCTACTCTGTGGGCCGTTTCCTTAATGAGAGCATCCATAACGCTCCGTAGAGTAGAGAACAATTTCTGTCAGGCAGGGAGGAAATAGATGAGGGGAAATGCAGAGATGGGGCAGTGCTTCTCTGTTATATTTTGTCTTCTGCAGAAGTGTACGTTCCAAGTTGTGGCATCTCTTTGATAGGAATATTTGACTAAGCATTATGGTATCTGTGAGCCCAAAGCTCAAAGCCAAAACAAGCTGGTTATGTTGGTTACCTTGGAATTTGCAGAGTATTTTCAACACAGATTTACAGGAGCTCTTGGCAAAAGCATCTCTGTGAAACCTTATTGCAAATACAGGTTATGGGATTTCTCCTTCTCCCATAAGCAAATCCCATCTCATGCACTTTCTATCCCAATCTCAATCCAGTTTTCTTCCCAAAGTTCCTTTCTGTCCGTATCAAGTTTCTCCATGCATAACAGACCGAAAGTCTCTACAGTAATTTCCATTGAAATAATCAAGCTGAATGAAGTTTGCTATGCTTAACTGTCATTGAAACAGGTCCTTCAGAAAAAGCATCCAAGCTAAGAATTAAGCACTTGGCACTTGGAGAAGTAAATTACATCGGGGATGGTTGCTAGTGCTACGAGTCGCTCCCTTTCAGGCTCACAGATAGCTACTCAACTGAATGAAGTACAAGTCCACAGCAGCAGGAACGTTCCCAGTGTTTCATACCAAAAGTCATTATTTTACAACTGCAGGCTTGTCTTTCCATTGGCCATACTGGCATAAATAGGCGTAGTTTCATGAAGTCAAATTTATTATTGGTGTGAGGGAAAAGAAAATCCTAAAATCCTCATGTCATCTGAAGGATGCGTTAATAACACAGTTATCAGTGTTTCTGTTACTGCTGATGAAGACAGATGTGTACTTATCTACCTCTGTAGGCTTCTGTTTGCACTGTAACAGAAAATAAGGATGACCTGAATAATACAGTCATTGCATTCTATTTGCTCGTAGCAAAAGAAAATGCTTTTCTTTTTTTCATGTAGGAGAACTTTTTTCTCTTCTACCTGTGTATGTAACCTCACTAGTTATGGCAAAATAAGGAGCAAAACCTACATTCGTCATCTAAATTGTCTCAATTCAGCTTTCCCTGTTTGCGTCTTTGTCGCTTTTCACAGAGCCACAAAGCCAAAACGCATCCATGTTGTTCTGAAAATGCTACACATTTAGGATATTTGATACTTGTAAAACGTCATATTTCTTCTGATGTTGGAAAAATTTGGAACCAACCTTACGACAGCTGATCTGTAACCTTCCCCCTCCAATGAAATGGCAAAAGACTGGCCAGTTAATTTTAAGATCACAGCAGCAGGACGTGGGAATTAGTCTTCTAATTCTTTGTTCATACATAAAATCTTAGAATGGAATCATATGATGGCTTATGTTGGAAGGGATCTCAAAGATCATCTACTTCCAAGTCCCAGCCATTGTCAGGGCTGCCTACCACTTACTCAGGCAAGGTGGGTACAAATTAATATTTTCAATGTGAATCTCATGGTCTGAAAGAAGATCCTGCTGCATCAAGGAAAATACTTTCTCTGACTTTCTTTTCTTTCATTACTTACTCAGGGTGAGATCTTCATGCAACTAAGATTTCATATCTCTCACTCTTGAAATCTGCATAGTGCATATTTGAAAATCATAAAGTTAAGAAACTTCATAGCATTATTTAAAGTGCATGCTCTCTCACTTTGCAGGCGTTGTTACTTGGTATCTTCCAGGCTAGAACCCACAGACCTGCCAAGATAAATATAAACATGGCAGCTGGTGCTTTCCTTCAGTCTAGGAAGAAATTTATGATGGGGTCAATATATTCAGTCCTTGAGTCATGCTGGTGTTTGCTTACATAACACATTGTCTGTTATTGCCTGATGATAATAAGCCTCTTTCAAAGAAAGAGTATTTTGTGAGTGCAAACGTGATACTTATTTTGGAAGCTTTTGAATAGTAATGTTTTTTTTTCCCCTTTCTTTCTATGAAGTCAGCTCAAATCTGTTGCCTGTTTTATCGTTATTGCTTTTCTGACCTGAAGGCTAGTTTAACGTGTAGACACTGTCAAGAGTCAAAAGGCTTTGCACACATGTTCTCCAGTTTGACTGCCTGAACAGCATGACAAAGAGTCTGTTGTCATACGCAATAATACAAGCCAAGCAGGGAAATCATCCAACTGGATCCTTAACTAAACTCTCCAGAGTTATGTGTCTCTGCTGGGACATCTGAAGAAAATGAACACATCTTGAGAGTGGTCCCTGAATACCTGAATGTAACAGCTCTAACATCTGCGTTTAGTTGAATGTGGTCTGTGAAGTCCCTCATTTGGTTAAGTTTTCTAAGTGATCTCTGAGACACTATTGTGTGAATGGGAATGTTGATGTTCTTATTGGCTCCTGATTAATTGGGAAATCTTCCAGCCGTCTTGCTTTCAGCCATTTGTGGCAACATGAAGTTACACATCAATGCAGAGCACAGCCCATGCAGGGAGTATATACAGGAAGGAATTTTGGAATCAGTGATTTTTCGCATACTAAACACTTCCCATTTCTTCAAACAAAACTCCGTTTTCCTTCTACAAACTATGTGTATATTCTGTTATCATAACTGATAAACTGTTATCAGTTTAATGTAAACTTGTTACTTGTAAATGTAGTTCTTGTAAACTATTCCA